CTCCTGACAAGCAGACTTGAAATGAGTTTCATCGAAACGTGTTGGGTGTGGGGCGGGTACATCCTGAATGAGCACAGACACAGCACTCCCCCACAATCTGGCCACACTCGGAACAGGCTCAAGGGGGTGGAGCAAGGCTCACATCTCAAGCCCCTGACTGTCATTACAGGCCTCCCCTTGCCTCACTGGCCTCCCCCAAACCCACCTGCTCTTGCTTCTGCTCGACCTAGAAGATCCCCCAACACCCACCCCCCAGCTCTTCTCCAGCCGTCCAAGAGCCTTGGTCAAAAGGCCCCTATTCGTGAAGCCTGCTGGGATGAGATACCTCCCGCCCTGCACCTCCGAGTGCAGGCTGGGCACTGGGCAACAGCACTCAGCTGGACCCGGGCCTGCCAATGAGGTCTGACAGCGCGAGTATCATGCTGGCCCCGGACCCAGGAGCTTAGCCAGCAAGCTTGTCAGGGAGCAGAGCTCGGGTCTCTGAGCCCCAAGCTGCTCCTACAGAGCAGGTGCTCACACAGGTGGGCTGCTCGGAAAGCAGACGAGTCGGCCGTTTGCCTGTCCTGTGCCCCCAGAGCACACAGCCCCTGCTCAGTTGGGTCTAGTCATACCATCAGCTGACAGCTTGGAGAGGCTGGACCAGAGACGGGGACCCTGGAGTGCGCCTGGCTTGGGCCCAGCCTCTGGCTCAGCACATGCTCTCCCGCCCCCCTGCCCCCTGCCCAGAAGCCTACCAAGGAGGAGGGACTGTCCATCGCCCAGCGGGAACCTCTGGTAGCGGGGCACGCTGACGGGCGGCACCAGGTGGAACTTGGGCTCCAGCAGCGGCTCAAGCCGTGAGGCGGAAGGGTCTGCGCAGTGGAAGAAGCTGTAGACCTGGCTGCAGGCCGGACGCACCTGGAGTCCTGGGAGCAACACAGGGAGCCCCTTGCTGGTCCCCGCTCACTCGGCCCTGGAAGGCTTCCCTGAGCGCAGCTTTGCGTAGCCTGCTCCTCTGCTCAAGAAATGCATGGCTCCTTGCCGCCACCAGCATCAAAGCCACATGTTCAGTTTGGCATTCAAGGCCTTGCCCGTCGGTGCCACCTGGGAGCGCTGCTGTAGGCACCCAGACTGCACCACGGTGGCCATGTGAAACGCCCCAGCAGGCTAGCTTTCTCTGGGCCTTGGCTCAAGCTGCCCTCCTCCCAGCAGGCCCTTTTCCCCCTTTCAGCTCTCCACTCTCACTTAGTGGCTACCTGACCTATGCAGCCAACCCAGGCTCTTTTCCTCAGGGTCAGCTGCCCCTTCCTCCAGCCCCCACCCAACTCCTAGCCTGGTGGTAGTTCTTGGTTTGCCAGAGCCGGCGGTACACTTCTCTCACAGACCAGCAGGTGTCTCCACTGAGGCCTCCTTCTCCTCCGTGCGTCTCCCTGTCCCTCTATGTCAGGGGACTGGACTGACCACGTCCAGGGAGCTTTAGGGTTCCTTAGTGACATCAGGGCAGCTGTGGGGTCCCGCCTCCTCTCTCTCCCCACTTCATGCAGAGCCCCGCCCTGTTTCTCTGTTCTGTACTGTAGGTCGTCAGTGAGCTCTGGGACAAAAGAAGTTTGAGAAGCCCTGGTATGTGCATCTGCAAGGTGCCTCCAGCCTCTTGCATCCTCAGAATCATGGCTTAGCCACCTGCCGGTGAAAACCACCTGGGTGTGTATTTCAGAGGAATGAGGACGGCATTCAAGGCTGTGACATGAGCAAAGGCACCGAGGCGGGCCTGGCTGCAGTGGGCCTACCTGGGCACTGGGGAAGGAGAGGGTGGGGGCCATAGGGTAACTAGTGATGGTTTCTCTTCCCACAGAGCATGACAACTGAACAACAGGCCCGCAGGTCAGCCAGGGGCATGTGACAAGGACAGTGAGACCCACCAGAGGCTGCCTCACCTTTGCTCCATCTGCGAAACGACCCCCCCATTCTTCCTCCTCTCCCCTCCCCCTCCACCTCCTCCTTCTTCTCTGTCCACCTACCCCAACTCTGTGACCCACCCTCCCCCTGCCCCCGACGTCCCACTCTCCCCAATTTGAGGCCCTGACACAGTGGGCTAGTGACACAAAGGCATCTCAGCCCCAGGCTGTGCCACACCCACCGTCCAGC